CTCCAGACTGAACCCCCCCAGTTCCCCCAGCCGCTCCCCAGCAGACCTGTGCTCCAGACCCTGCCCCAGCTCCGTTGCCCTTCTCTGGCCACGCTCGAGTCCTTCAATGGCCTTTTTGGGGTGAGGGGCCCAAAACTGAACCCAGGAATCGAGGGGCGGCCTCCCCAGTGCCGAGCCCGGGGCTCAGATCCCTCCCCTGTCCCTGCTGGCCATGCCAGGGCTGGTACAAGCCAGGATGCCGTTGCCCTCCTTGGCCCCCTGGGCACACTGCGAGACAATTCCCACCCAGTTAATGGGTTAGGCCTGGAAAAAACAAGTGACACCACCTCAGGCTTGCAGTTTGCTCAGGGCACCTGTGCCCTACAGCGATTTCGGTGCTGGTAACACCCCCAGTGTCACCGACAAGCACCCCGGCCACAGACAGCGAAGGCGCCCGAGCGGGAACGCTGCCCCGCATGTGGTCATCGGCAGGAGAAAAATAAATACAGAGAGCTGAAATTCAGCCCCCCGCTCCGCCCTGAGTGGTAGCAGCGCAGGGCGCAATTAAAACCTATTTTGGGGATTTTGGCTGTACACGAACTGGCCGGTGGACCACACAGCTGGCGATGACTTCCACGCAGGGAGAGGAACCGACTCGTCACGCACAAACAGGCATCTCCTGGCCTACACCTACTAATTAGGAGAGGGAGTTCCCAACACGCCTATTCTGGGTTCTTCCAGACAAGCAGCTTCTTTTACATTTTTGCAAACTTTTCTCTGAGCAAATGCCAAAGTGAGTTACGCAGGAGACCGGCAAGTCCTTAAAGTCTTCGTGGAGGTTTGACAGGTGGCAGATGAACAATCCCTTCGCCAGGGCAAGCGTGCTGGAACCGTCGCCTGGGGCCGGTTTGAACCCAACCAGCCCGAACCTGATGTGACTAAGAGCTGGCTGGTTCACATTCTTCCCCAACTTTTGGGGGCCTGACGCTCATTTTTGTTAAGCCCCTATTACAACATCACCCGAAGCTCTCGAGAGCCTGGGGATGGGTGTAGCTGTAATTAGCATCCACTTAAAAGCACCTTCACATTGCCAGCACCGGCGCAATGGGCTACAGCATGACAGAATCATTCCCTCACAGCCCTTCTGCACATGACAGCGAGTTCTCATCATTTAAATAACGAGTTTCCCCTTAATTTTAATCCTGTGAAACTTCTAGGGCTCGGCCACGTCTTGCAGCAGCGAGTTCCACGAGTGATCACGCAGCTGCTCGGGGCGAGCCAGGCACGTGCGTGCAGCAGCCACTTTTGATTTCCCTCTCGTGTTAAACGACCCGTCGGAGGGTGAGCTGGTCCCCGGGCTGCGCGCTCTTACCTGTGTTGTACGCCGTGGGCATGGCGGAGAAAGGCAGCCCCTGCGTCAGCAAACTCGGAGTAGCCACAGAAACAACCGGTGTGGTTAAAGAGTGAGTCGCTTGGGAGACACCTAACCGCTGCGTGTTCTGCTGGGGAAGCAAACGGAGGGGGAGTTACAACCCAAATGCATTTTTTTTTTCTGTCGCCCTCGAGGAGGGGTGTGTGACCCCCACAAAATGTCAGTCTGCAGCTGGCCCCCCCGTGGCATGCACCAGCCCCTTTAAAGCAGCCGAGGCTCATCGTGGGGACTGTGGGACTAGGCAGGGCTGATCCTCTGGCCATTCCTCACTGCAACAAAGCGAAGTGCAAACCACACCAGCTCCAGACATGTAGGACCCTTGTGACATTCATTCGTGGGCCACTCGGGTCACCTTTCTTCACTCACAAGGACCAGCAACGTGCACGGAGGGGGAATCACAGTGGGATGCCTCAGCCTGTATCCCTTCCGCTGTGAAAAACAAGAGTCACTGTTTTTCCAGAGGATGAACGTGAGCTTTGCTGAGCTACTCGGGGAGTGAGAAAAGTACCAAACAAAACCAGGATCAGCGAACACAGCGCAGAGCTGACGCATCCTCCTCCCTGCAGCACCAATGGCCGCGAACGAGCCCCCTGCCTCTGAGGCAAGCTGAAGATGCTGAGCGTTGGCCTCAGGATTTTTAAAGGCACTCTGGCAGCCTCAAATTTAAAGGTCAGCGCTCAGCAACCTGCCGGCTCGGTGCCCTCATGAGGTTTGGGTGACTCAGGCATTAGCAGGTCCGCTGTGGAAAAATTCTGCCCTTGGACCGCTGCACGCCAGCCTCCCCCCGTGGTTTTGCAGGCAGTTACGTGGGTGGATCCACGGGTCAGATTCAGCCCTGTTTACAAGGCAGATAATCTGGGCTGTCTCTGCTGATCTGATTTAAATCAGCCTCAAGAGGCTTGACTCTAAGCTGAAGCACCCTGGCACACGTCACCCTGTGAAGACTGGGGCAGCACCCAGCTTAAATCATGCCTGGCACGAGGCTGGATTCATCCCCGGGGACACGGCGAGGAGCCTTCCTCCGGGCTCACTGCGAGGTGCCGAGGGCTACCACGGCCTTCTAGGGCCTGCGATGGTCCACGGCCACGCAGGACTCTCCTGGGCTAAGGCTGGAGGCTAAAAATCCCCCTGTCCCGGCCCCCTCCGGAGGAGGCTGACAGCACCCTGACGTGCTGGATTTGCGGCACCCTGCGCCCACATGCTGCCCAGCCCGCAGGTCCCTCCCCGCCACCCAGGGAAGGCGATTACCAGAGCTCTAATTGCTAAAGCCCGGGGGCTGTAGGAGCAGGTTTTCCTGGCACTTATCCTGCTGGCAACCGCCCTGGGCCGTGCCCACTGCCTGCGGGTTGAGGACGCTGCGGAGTAATGCCTTCACGGTGGGCAGGATTCATCTCCCTCCCTCCCCTGCCTGCACCGGGCCCCGAGCCAGCCCAGCAGGATGCGACCCGCAGCCCCATCCCCTCCGTCTCCCGGTTGCACCGGAGCTCTCTGGCTTTCCCGGGAGAGCGCTGGCACCGGGATGAGTCCGGCCGGGGTGGTGGGACCTGGGCTGAGCAGGGGGTGTCAGTGGGAACAGGGCAGCACCCACCCCTGTGACACCTCGAGGCGAGGCGGGGGGGGGATGGCAGACGTGGCTGCACCCTGGTTTTTCATCCCGATTCATGCAGGTTGGAGGTGCTGAGGTGTGCAAGCCGCCCCCCCCCACACCCTACCCCACTCACACCGCCTTGCAAAATGCTCCCAGTTTGCAAACTGCCATTCCAACTGGTGACAAAACCATGCAGGCATGCTCCCCGGGGCGCTCGCTCGTCGCCGGCTGGTGAGTGGATCCTGCTCTACCCTTCACACTTCGGAGAGTGTCGAGAAACGGGGGGACCCCCTCTCTGAACCCACTAAAAGAGCAGATGGTGCCCGGAGCCTCAAGCTGCCAGGAGCAAACCCTAACGCTGGGCAAAGGGTGAAGGGCAGCGGGGCAGGTCTCAGCTGACTCATCCCGCCGCCTGTGTGTAAAGAGGTGGGAGTTGCCATTTCGAGAGAAGATCTGGTGTGTAGGTTGAGCAATATGGAAGAGAGCAAATCTGGGGAGAAGGTTAGCGGAGCAAAGAGGGGGGCAGCCGCACCAGGCGGGGTGAATCCGCAGTGCTCTCCCCTTCCAGATCCAGCTGTGTTGAGTTCCCTGCCCCCCCTCTCCCGGATTTCATCACTCTCCACCTCCCCGCTGCCAGCTCGGTTTGGGCGACGACTGTACTTCACTTCAGGCAAAAATCAGCCGGGTTAGCTCAGCCTAACAATTAAAAACTGTTAATGCCAACCCGGCTGATTTTTGCCTAAAGCAAGCTGCTCCTGCAGCTCGGAGACAGGCAATGCCCTCTGGCAGCGGGAACGGTGACGAGCAGATGGGGAGGTGGGTGGTGACTGTCTTTGCTCTACAGATGGGGAAACTGAGGCAGGGAGCTGCTGGGAGGGAGGTCATTAAGCAAGAAGGGTTTTCGGGCATGGAGAGCAGCAGAATTCAAGTCTGCCAAAGCCCTGGCCAATCCTTCCCCTGGCCAAGAGCGTCTCCTTGCAGGCTGCGAGAGGTATCGGCTTACTCCTGTGTTTTTGGAGAGCTTTTCCCTGGCTGCGTTAGCTGCATCCTACAGCGGCTCTCGCCCTTTCCTCGCTGCGCTGACCTGTCGCCCATCTGCCCTGCACCAGAATAGCAACAGAACAGGGTGAATCATTGCCACAAACAAGGTGGTGTTCACTTTGCTGGCAGGGGGGGGAAAAAAAAAAAAAAAAAGGCCATAAAAATAACACAGAAAATTGCCCCTGTGCACAAAGGAGGTTTAGGGAGCGCACTACCAGCCGGTGGATTTACACAGGCTTTAAATAATATCCTTAATATGGGAAGAGCCTGAATTACTCCCTATCTCTCATGTGGTGGCAGTGGGCCAGGTCTGCCCGTGCTGTAAAGTGCGGTGGCTCCAGCACAGCCCACGGGGCAGGTCCCTGGGTGGTGGCGGTGCCCAGGCTGGCTCCTCGCAGCCCCGGCCCCAAAAGGGACCCGGAATGACCCCCCTCAGGGAACACAGAGCAGATTTTTGGCCGCGGTGGAGAAACGGGCACTTTACAGCCTCGTGTCAGCTCCTTCTTTTCCACAGGGAACCTGGTTTTCCTAAGAGGGCGTTTTTCTTGGGATTGATTTTCTGTGGCAGGACTGGACGTGCCATTGGCGCCGGCACCGTGTCCCCAGCGGAGGGTAAAGGGGATGGTGTCCACCCCCCTACGTGCACCCCACGCCTCCGGCGCGCCAGGGCAGGGACCGACGGGACAAGCGGCCCATGTCCCACCCCGCCGCGAGGCAACACTCAGCAGGGAACTCACCAGAGCCAAGTGATCCTCCGTCTGCCCGCGGGAGAACAGAGAGAAAACCGAGAGGCACCGTTAACTCCACAGCCCCGCCAACCACCACCGCGCTCGCCGGCACCACGCCCCTGCCTACCGCAGGGCACACACGGGTTACACACGGGTTACACATGGGTTACACGCGGGTTACACGTGGGTTACACCGGTGCCCGGTGCGGGGCTTTGTGCTGTGCTGTTGGCATCCAGCAAACGGGAACAAGCTTCCTTCCTCAAGTTTCACAGAATCCCAGAATCCTTCAGGTTGGAAAAGCCCCTCGGGATCAGCGAGTCCAACCCTCAGCCCGACTCTACAAAGCTCTCCCCTACCCCACATCCCCCACAGCTCATCCCAACGGCCCTTAAACCCCCCAGGGATGGGGACTCCCCCCTCCCTGGGCAGCCTGTTCCACTCTCGGACCACTCTGTCTGGGAAACATTTTCTCCTCCTGCCCAGCCTGACCCTCCCCTGGGGCAGTTTCCAGCCGTTCCCTCTTGTCCTGTCCCTGATCCCCTGGGAGCAGAGCCCAGCCCCGGCCTCTCTGCAATGTCCTGTCAGGAGCTGCAGAGAGGGATGAGGGCTCCCCTCAGCCTCCTCCTCCTCACACTGAACACTCCCAGCTTCTTCCCTGGCTCCTCACAGGATTTATTCTCCAGGCCCTTCCCCAGCCTCGTTGCCCTCCTCTGCCCTCGCTCCAGCCCCTCGAGATCTCTCTCGCATCGAGGTGCCCAAACCTGGACACAACCCTCCAGGTGTGGCCTCACCAGTGCCGAGCACAGGGGGACTGTCACCTCCCTGCTCCTGCTGGTCACACTAGTGCTGATACACGCCAGGATGCCGTTGGCTTTCTTGGCCACCCGGGCACACTGCTGGCTCCTGTCCAGCTGCTTGTCAATGAGAACCCCCAGACCCTTCTCCCCCAGACAGCTCCAGCCACCCCTCCCTGAGCCTGTAGCCATGCAGGGGGTTGTTGAGGCCAAAGGGCAGGACCTGGCACTTGCCCTAGTTGAAGCCCATCCCACTGACGTTGCCCACTGATCCAATCTAGCCAAATCTCTCTGTAGACCCTCCCTGTCCTCAAGCAGACTGACACTCCCATTTCACTTGGTGTCACCTGTGAACTCACTGATGACACACTCTGTGTCCTTATGGTGATCCTCAATAAAGATGTTGGGACAGAAATGGTCCCTACACCGAGCCCTGAGGAAGGTTTCCCCGCCAGCAACGCCCCGGCCGAGCTCCCACCGCTACGGCACAGAACAGGTGCCCCCACACCGCATCAGCTCCAGCACAAAGTTCTACACCGCGACCTGCCCGGTGGCAGGGGACCCGCGCCCAGCCCAGCCTGGTGGCACATCTCCGCCGGGCACTCACCAAATGGTGCATCAGCCCCTTCCCGCTCTGCGAGGTGATCACCCGTAAATCCGGCTTGCGGCTGTTGGTGGCGAGCTGCGTGCTGTGGGAGGGCGGTGGCGGGGACTTGGCCGGGATGATCTTGCCCAAGCTGCTGCCGTTGGACACGGGGAGGAGACCCGGAGAGGCTCTGGCACTCACATAGCCGTTTCCTGCGGGAAAAGGGGTGGCGGAGAGGAAGAGGGTGAACGTGGTGTGAGGGCGAAGGCACGGCGGCGGTCAGTGCACCGGAGCCGCAGCGGGGCCCCATGGGTGCTGCTCCCCGGCACCCCCAGGCTCCCCAAAACCCTCCTGCACCCCAGGCAGCCTCATCCACAAGCCCAGGCAAGCTCAGCCAGTGCATCCGCCCCACAAGACCAGGGAAAGCTGCCCCGGAGCAGGCAGGGGTAGAGGCAGCGCAGGCAGCCGGCCCCGAGCTCCCAGCGTGCGGGGCAGCTCCGCAACCTGCAGGGTCCCATGATCATCACTGCAATAACAACCAATAAATATTACGGGCCTCTTTATGCTGCTCTGTCAGGGTACTGGGGCCCTTGCAAGGGGGGATAATTACTGTTACGTTCACTTTTAAGGTCTCTTTATGGCACTGGAGCAGCGAAAAGGGTCTGTGGCAGAGCGAGGACTCGGTTCACTGATCCCACTGCCCCTTTGAAGATCTGAGGTTCCCTCCTCCTCCTCCTCCTCCTGCTGCCCCACTTAAGGATTTTATGTGCAAAGAGGGGGAAAAAAAAAAAAGAAGAAAGGAAAGGAAGAAAAAAATTTAAAAAGGAAAAGATTTGATGAACATCAGGAAAGGAATAAATTGGATCAGATTACTGTTCTGATGAGGGTTGTTTTTTTTTTTTATGAATAGGCCCCAAAGATAGAAAGGCGTTTAGCAATCACCAGGATTCAGCCCTCATATTCATTGCACGTTAGACCGGGAAAAATAGGTCGCTGATTGCATTATTAATCACATCTACCATTGCGCTACATCTGCATTTCAGCAGGCGGCTGGTGGTAGCAACGCCGCAGCCGAGGCGCGTGCTCATCGGGGGCAAGTGCCAGCCACTGCCTCTCCCAGAGCTTCCCCAGGGCTGGACACAACGGTGATGGGGCAAACTGGGCATGGGGGCCAGCCACGCGCCCCGGGAGCCGCAGGTCCGGTCCCACCGAAGCCGTCAGGGACGAGAGGTGCTGCCCCAGGATGCCCGTGGTGGCTGCGCTGCTGCGGGCTGGCAGCTCCCCCAGAGTCATCCGGGTTGGAAAAGCGCTCAAGGCTCCTCCAGCCCAACCATGACCCTCCCCCTGACCCTTCCCAACTCCCCCAGACCCCTCAGCGCTGGCTCAGCCCGACTCTTCAACCCCCGCAGGGATCCCGGGGACTCCCCCCTGCCCTGGGCAGCCCATTCCAACGCCCAACAGCCCCTTCTGCACAGAAATCCTTCCTCAGAGCCAGCCTGACCCTGCCCTGGGCAGCTTGAGGCCATTCCCTCGGGGCCTGGCGCTGGGGCCTTGGCTCCAGAGACTCATCCCCCCTCTCTGCCCCCTCCTGGCAGGGAGTTGCAGAGGGCCAGGGGTCTCCCCTCAGCCTCATCCTGCACGTCCCGTATCCATGTCCCGGCCCGAGGGAGGGGACAGGCTTTCCTGTCCCCATGGAGCTCTTTTCCCAGTCCCAAATCCCCGTGAGCAGCCGCGCAGAAGGCACGTGCCTGGCGCCTCAGACCCAGGGGACCTCTGTGCACCTCAACTACCTACGTTTTGCTTGCACGGCCGACAGCTTTTATATTTATTAACAACAAAGATGCATAAAACTCCCCGGGTGCTTTTTGCTACGCACGGTGCCAATGGCCACACAAAAGCCGACAGAGAAACAGCCAAGAGAAACGTTAAACCCCTCGATACTCTTCAAGGTGGCACCGACACGGATGTGCACGTGGTTCTCAGCTGCCCCTCTGAGGTGCACCACATCAGGGTGGTCCCGGAGCTGGAGGGGAGCAGGTTTGGGTCCCAACGCCACTGCTCACCCCTAAAGGGACTTCCCTGGCAGGGTAATTTGGGCGCTGCCATCACAAGAGCCGCCCCCAGCCTGGATCCGGCCCCCCCCGCGAGCCGCGGAAGGGCTGCGCTAGGATTTCAGAGCAACCCCAAAAAAAGGGATACAAAAGAAGAGCGCTCCAGGCTGCCTTTACACCATCCTGGTGTAAATTTGAGCCTGGCAGCACCACAGGGCCCTCACTCGGAGGGCACCGAGGATGGGGCTGGCCACGGCGCGCGGGCAGGACGCGG